TTTCCAACTGCGGCTCAATGGACTCGACCCACGTTGTCAAGTCGTGGCGCCCTTCAAGTAGTTTCGGCACGACAATCTTGTCGGGTGAAAACTTGAAGTATCCGTATTCCGGAGCGATGCCACCATCGCGTACGGTTGACGCATTTGCTGCCAATGAGGGTCCGCCACCACTCCGTCGCACAGAGTTGCGATAACCATGCGCGTCACTACGCGCACTCGCTGCAGCTGCAGATCGAAGAACTTGCGCTTGCGTTCCACCGACGCTCGCGGTGTTCACTCTGACGGCTCCACGCAGTTCACCGCGCGTAACTCGTGCGCCTTCATTGCCATCGATGTTGACGTTGTTGCCTTCAGCACGGGGAGAAGCAGACTCAATTTCCGCATCAGCACGAGGAGGTGGGTGATCGCGAGCCCATTTCGCACGAGCTCCTTCGATCATCAGCTCCAGATCCGCGTCGCTGATTTCGCCACCGCTGTGGCGCTCCCGCAAAGCAGCGACCTGCGCTTCCAGGTCCATGATTTCCGTAGCGGCATCCTCGCCAGCCATACGGAATCAATGTGGCTGCCGGCCCAAGGTTGAAAACTTCGTCAATTGTACTCGAGGCTATCTGAAGTTCGCGTATGCGTCCACGCTCACCGCACCATGCGGAGAATAGGCGATTATGGGAGAGCCTAGGCGCAGAGTTGCAAAGCGGATGCTTGTAAACCGAATACGGACTTGTTGGAAACCGAATACTGATGCCAAGGTTGGTATGCAGTAACTGAAGGAAAGAACTTCATTAATTGATTAAATTGATAGATAACAACAGAAACAACATGAACCTTATAGAGAAACATAGTGACGTGTGCAAGAACGTTCTACGAGAACGTTGTTCATGAAGAACGTGCAAGCACCTACTCTAGAATGCGGTTCCAGGTTGGCACCGCCAGGTGAAATACCATCAGGTGAAAATACCGTCAGGTGTATTTCTACCTGCCCAGGAGTAGTTGCGCAGGTGCTCGCAACACTGACAGTTGCACATACGCGTTTGTGCAATGTCGTCACTTCCCTGGTCCAATGTCGAAATGCGCATACCGAAGCGCACAGATTGGAGTGTACTCGGCGATTACCGCAACACAGGTAAAACCGGTATGCGGTATGCGAAGTCTCGCTACTCCGCATAGAGCTGCTACACGCGAAACCAGGCGCGTGCAGGGCTTAGCCTCAACACTCCCCTGCCCTGCTCGTGCCTGGGCAACTGAGGAGTTAGCACACCACACAAAGCGAAAAGGGAAATGATAGAGTACAACAGGGTGACGATCCTGATACTCGTCTGCGTGTTTTCCGCACACGCATACTCACCGCACCAGCCATGTTGAAGGACATGGCACCTAATCCGTGGAGTATTTCTTGTAATGTCAAGATCATGTATTGGAACTTTGTAAACTCTGTTATTTTAAAGCCCGCGTCCCAAATTGCGGGCCGCGAGGGTCAAGTTTTTAAAACTTGACGAAGTTGAGTGTCCAAGCTTTTGAAAGTCACGCACTTGCAATTTGGGACTTTCGAAGACAGATTCACTCACCAGGGGGAAAACCGAGGGTTGGCTGGGTCTCGCGAAAAAAACGAACCTAGACGAAATCGGAAACTCTCGCCAAAGCCCACACCAGAAAAACTCCCTCTGGTCAACTTTTAAAAGCATGAACAATTTGGGCCGCCGGCTTTAAGCCTGCAGCCCGTTGGTTATAAGGGCAAGGCTTTACAGTGCGGGGTAAAGGACGGGGGAATGGCGGAACGGGCGGACGGTGGGTAGGAACTCGCGGCTTACTAGCTTCTGGGTCTTAGTCGCCTGTGTGGTAATTATAACGGTAACCAGATTTGCTTCTTAGCGGGTCTAAATCATAATCCAGTCCTTGAGTGCTGCTAGTAGTACCGCTAGTCGACAACCGCCATTCCCCCGACGACGACCCCCAATCCCCCGCGTTTCCACGCTGTTGCTCTCTCTCCCCCCGCGGGTATGTCTCTCCCAGCGGTTCTCTCTCCACCAAAGGTTCTCTCCGTCCCGACGGCTCTGTCTCTTTCTGCGAGTCTATCTCTCCGCTTCCCGCGCTCCGCGGCCCTTGCTCCTCTCCGCTCGGCCCTAAACTGGATGCGTTTGCCCTCGACGAATACGCTGCAGCCACGTCATCGTCGTCTGATGAGTCGCGGGCCTCCAGCTGCTCCCCCCGCTTGCGCAGACAGGCCCGCGGAGAAACCGGGCGCTGAGTTCGGGGGTACGCGGAGCTGTCGCGGATAGGGGGGCAAGCGGAAGAGGAGAGAATGGGCAGGGGCGGCTCGAGCGGCGGGAAGAGTATCCCGTGCTGTGGTGGAAACAGGAGCTAAGCGGGAAACGCGGAGGGAGGGGGCGGGCGTGGTAGTCGCCATGAATGAGAGAGGAACCGCGAAAGGACGAGAAGCATGAGTTGCGCGTGTGGATAATATCTGCGGAAACCAGCGCGCTATTGATAGCTTTTGGTAACTAGCACGCGGTCGGCTCGTGTGTGTGCTCGACATTGCCACAGCAGTACTGGTAGCAGTAGAATCGCCTCAAATTCGTACGTTGATCAGGGCCCGTGCTTTGGCGAAAAGACAACGACACTGTACATGCTGATTTGGCACTTCGCAACAGCACTTATTGTTTGCGAACACTCTCGACTTGCAAGAAAAGGGTGTGGTAACTGCAAAGGAACGCGCTCCAGTGTGGCGTCCAGCAAAAAATTGGGTGTGTTCAACTCGATATTCTAATGCGGGGTGATATTTTGAAATACCCCTTCATTCTGTTTCCTTCCCGCTCCAATGTCACTCATGACTAGGACGTGTCAGCAAGCACATCTCACTCAACAAGAGCGTCGAGACGCACTGGCGCATTGCATCTTCCTGTCGCTAGTAGAGCTGCCTCGAATCGCCTCCACAAAACCAGTACGAATGGCGCCGGCGCAGTTCCACACCCAATCGTAGTACTATCATCTTTCGCGCGCATCGTGTAGTACTCTCGTCACCTTTCTCCGCCTCTGCGGCTCCTTCCCTCTCAACACTCTCGGAATCGCGCTCGCCTTCGCGCACCACGCACTACAGATCGACTTACCCACGCCGCTGTGGAATCACTTCGAGGGCCGCAAGAACGTGATCGACTTCCCATGCTACGTTTCCACGCCCTGACTCACACACGCACGCTGTCACTCACCCAGGCTCTGGCCTCGTCGTCGTATAGATGGCGAGCCATGCCTTCCGATCGCCTTACGTCCGTCGTCGCGCAATAGCCGTCGCTCGCGGCGGAAGACTCCGCCTCGCATCTCTTCGCAAACACCTCTCACCTTCGCCAGCTGCACCTCTCGCATCGTCGCACGCCACCGGTTCATCGCGCGATAACATTTTCGCAGATACACCTTCGCGCCGTCATTCCAGCGCGTCTCATCCTCCCCCACCTTCATCATTCCTCAGCGCGTCTCACCGTAACCATCCCTGCGATTTAGGTAGTCACCGTAACCCCGCGCTGATCCGATTAGTCGCCACTCGCTTGTCACCGCAGCCTGCGTCTCCTAGCATCTGTCGTCATCATTACCACAACAGCCGCACGCCGCTTGTTCACGGATCCGGGCTCTCCGCTTCGTCCGCTCTGCTTTCCCGGCTTCTTCACTCTTCTCGAGCCGTCGCGGCCGTTGGATCGGAGCCGCCGGTTGCCGGGGAGAGATCTGGACCATCGGGCGAGAGAGCGGCTGGCGGGGAAGAGAGTGTGGGGGATTTGCGTGTGAGCTATGGCGCGACGGAAGCAGAGGGGGAGGAGGCGGAAAGAAGAGGGAATTTCAATGACGGAAGGGGGGAGGGACGGGGAAGGGTTTGGGATGAGGTTCGGGAAGAGGATCGGAATGTTGAGGAGCGGGGAGGGGTGGATTTAGCGGACGGGGAGAAGCAGGAAATGCGGACGAGACAGCGACGGGTTCGGGTGCGGGAGGAGGCAGGCAGCGAGGCGGCGGCAGGGGGAGGGACGGCGGAAGAAGGACGATCAAGAGAGGGAAGCCTTGGCAACACCGAGCAGGGTAGTCGTACCAACGAGGCTGTAATTACCGCAGAGGGTGTTAGTAACGCGGAGGCCAATAACGAGGACGGCGATGACGACATGAGCGGGTACGGCGTGGCGTCTGAGGAGGATCTGCGCAACGCGAAGCAGATCGCGGACGCGATTCTCAGCGGGCGGTTCTTCGCGGGGATGAGCCGCGGGAAACGGCACTGGGCGGGGGACGACGCGGGGGAGAGCGGGAACGCGGGAGAAGAGGATGGGGGAGTGAGGGAACGCGGGAGGAGAGGGAAGGAGAGGCGCGGGGAAGGGCGAGGGGAGGTGGGGGGAGACGACGAGGAGGAAGAGGAGTGGCGGAGGAGTTTTCGCGAGAGGGGGTGGCGGCCGGGGTTCAGGGGTTTGGGGGACTTGTTGGGGGAGGCGGGCGGGGGACAGGCGGAGGTGGAGGGGCAGGTGGCGGTGGAGAAGCAGCGGTTTGCGCGCGTGGCGCTGGTGGGCGCGCCCAACGCGGGGAAGTCCGCCCTGATGAACAGACTGGTGGGGGGAAATCAGAGAGAGAGAGAGAGAGAGAGAGAGGGGTTAGAGTGGGAGGGAGGGAAGGGGTGAGGAGGGAGGTTGAGCAAGAGGAAAGAGTGAGAGAGGGTGGGAGTGGGGGGAATGGGTAAGGAGGGACTTTGATCGGAAGGCCGGAAGGGTTTAAGGGGAGTAAGGTGAGGGAGGGGGATAAGAAAGAGCAGATGCGGGGTTTAGTTAGTTGCGAGGTTTGGCACGCTACATTGCACTCCTTCTTTGCTGTCTCAACCTCTCACCGCTTCCTTCCTTCACATTTGGGATCTCCTTCTCATCCACTTGTCCCCCTATTCCCACTCCCTCTTCTATCACATCTGCCTCTCTCCTTCCTCCTCTTTTCGCTCACCTCCTTTCCCCTCCCCGGCCTGCCTTCTCCTCACCTGTTTGCCGTGCGTGCAGGTGGGCGTGAAGGTATCAGCGGTATCGCGCAAGACCAACACGACGCAGAGGGAGGTGGTGGGCATCCGCACCACCGGGCCCACGCAGCTGGTGAGCTTCGAGTTTCACACGCCTTAACACTGCTGGTGAGCTTCGAGTTTCACACGCCTTAACAATGCTGGTGAGCAGAGCGCACGCCCCCCACAGCTGGTGAGCTTTGACGGTTGATGCGCCTGAAAAACTGGTGAGCTTTGACGGTTGATGCGCCTGAAAAACTGGTGAGCTTTGACGGTTGATGCGCCTGAAAAACTGGTGAGCTTTGACGGTTGATGCGCCTGAAAAACTGGTGAGCTTTGACGGTTGATGCGCCTGAAAAACTGGTGAGCTTTGACGGTTGATGCGCCTGAAAAACTGGTGAGCTTTGACGGTTGATGCGCCTGAAAAACTGGTGAGCTTTGACGGTTGATGCGCCTGAAAAACTGGTGAGCTTTGACGGTTGATGCGCCTGAAAAACTGGTGAGCTTTGACGGTTGATGCGCCTGAAAAACTGGTGAGCGCAACCCAACCCACTCAGGGGTCCCTCCTCTTCAGCCTCCTCCCTTCCTTCACCCGCTAACCCCCTCCCTCTCCCCTTCTTCCCGACCCCCAGGTGTTTCACGACACGCCACGCCAGGGCTGACAGTGGCGCTACCATCGCAGCCGCTGTCAGCATCGCAGCGCCAGGGGTCGCTGCTCGCCTCGTCCGCTGCCCTGCATTGCCATGTCGTGGCGCTTGTGATTGATGCCGACCGGCAGATCAGGAGGTGCGATACGAGGGTGCTTGTGGTGGTAGGGTGTGGTGAGAAGGGCTGTAGCTGAAGCATTGGCCGTGGGGCTTTGTTTGTCTGTCATCCCCCAGTCTTCGTTGCTCTTGTTCTCCCCTTCTTCCTCACTCACAGTCCTTCCCTCCCATCCAGGACCAAGACTTCCCCACCTGCTCCTGGAAAAGAGAGGGTACCACCTTATCCCAGAATGTTCCCTCTCTCTCCACCCCATCTCAATCCAAACCATCCATCCCACTAATTCACTCCATCCCACAAACCCATCCCATACAACCCCATCCCTTCCCACCGCACTCCGCCCCTGCAGGCCAGACCCGCGGGTGCGGAGGATGGTGGGGGTGGTGGGGGCGGAGCGGAGGGAGGGGCAGCAGCGCGTGGCGGTGCTGAACAAGGTGGACCTGGTGAAGGACAAGCGCCTGCTGCTGCCGCTCGCACACGAGCTCAGCGCTTTTCATTCCATTGAAAGGTGGGGGGAGAGGGGGGGGAGTGGGTGGGGGCGTGGGAGGGAGTGGTGGGCACGCTGGGTGCGCGGGGGTGGTAGTGGAGTGGGGGCGGTGGGGGGGGGGTTTCGGGGGGTAGGAGTGGGCACGGAGGATGCATGACGGTTGAGGTTGAGGGTTGAAGGCGGAGGGAGGGGCAGCAGCGCGTAGCGGTGCTGAACAAGGTGGACCTGGTGAAGGACAAGCGCCTGCTGCTGCCGCTCGCACACGAGCTCAGCTCCTTCCACTCCATTGACAGGTGGGGGGAGTGGGGGGAAGAGGTGGGAGGGGATTGGGTGGGGTGGGGGAGCTGGGTGCATGGGATGGGGGGAGGTGGTGGAGTGGGGGAATGGGGCGTTGAGGGTGGTGTAGGAGTGGCCGTTTGAGATATATGAGGGTCCAAGGTTGACGGTCCAGGCTGAGTGCATAGCAGTGCTGAACCACCCTGTATTCGATTCTGGTAGGTTCTAGCAGTGCCTTCAACATGCTTACGCCCTGTCTATTCTCAGCCCCATTCTGCCGTCCATGCCCTCACCCATCGTCACCCCACCCCACCCCACCCCACCCCACCCCACTGCGTGCAGGGTGTTCATGGTATCAGCGCTGCAGGACAAGGGCGTGAACCTGCTGGAGGAGTATCTCTTTGACCATGTGCGTGCTTCTCCTGCCCTGCCCTCACCTCTCACATGCCATGCTACTATGCCATGGAGTCGGGCCATGCATTGGGTTGGAGCTTATGCCATGAGGCTAATTGTCCACTCTCTCCACCTCTCGTTGTTGTTTTCTCGTTTGCACCCGATGTGATGTCTACTCGTGTTACGTGCGCAAGCATCCCCTCCTGCTTTTGAGATATCTCGGAAGTGACACCACGTTACGTCACGCCCCCTTCCATCCTGCATCCGTCATGTTGTTCCAATATGTGCCATCTCTCTTTCTCTCTCCCTCCCTCCCTCCCACACACCCCGGTCAATACCCATCCTCCTCCTGTCGCACACACACCAGGCGGTGCAGGCGGCATGGGAGGAGGACCCTCGTCTGCGCACGGACCAGTCCCCTGAGCAGCTGGCCATGCAGATCGTGCGCGAGCTGCTGCTGCACCGCATGCACCAGGTGGGCCCGGCTCTGCGTGCCTTGCTCCCTCACTCGCTTGCTCGTTAGAGGCTGTGGAGCGTATGCGAGGGCATTAAAAAAATCCCTGGTTTTAGCAGGTGGGTGTTTGCACATCTGGCGATGCAGATCGTGAGGGAACTGCTGCTGCACCACATGCACCAGGTGGGTGCTTGCTTGCTTGCTCGCTCGTTACACACAGTGGGGTGTGTGTGAGGCATCTCATCGCCTGAGACTTCCCGAAGCACTCCTTATCTACCCTTGCTCTCCATGCTCTCCTCTCTCTCTCTCTCTCTCTCTCTCTCTCTCTCTCTCTCTCTCTCTCTCTCTCTCTCTCTCTCTCTCTCTCTCTCTTCCTCCTTCTTCCCTCCCTCTCTCATCCCCACAGGAGGTGCCATACGCCATAGAGCACCGTCACGTGTCGTGCTGTGTGCTGAGGGATGGGTCGCTGCGCATAGAGCAGCTGCTGCTTGTGCAGTCCAATGCACAGAGGGCCATGCTCGTTGGCAAGGCAGGCCAGGTCGTGCGGTGAGTCCTGCTGTGTTATGGTGTGGTCGTGCTCTGTGCTCAGGGATGGGTCTGCGCATAGAGCAGCTAAGCTGCTGCTTGTGCAGTCCAATGCACAGAGGGCCATGCTCGTTGGCAAGGCAGGCCAGGTCGTGCGGTGAGTCCTGCTGTGTTATGGTGTGGTCGTGCTCTGTGCTCAGGGATGGGTCTGCGCATAGAGCAGCTAAGCTGCTGCTTGTGCAGTCCAATGCACAGAGGGCCATGCTCGTTGGCAAGGCAGGCCAGGTCGTGCGGTGAGTCCTGCTGTGTTATGGTGTGGTCGTGCTCTGTGCTCAGGGATGGGTCTGCGCATAGAGCAGCTAAGCTGCTGCTTGTGCAGTCCAATGCACAGAGGGCCATGCTCGTTGGCAAGGCAGGCCAGGTCGTGCGGTAAGTCCCACTCTTGTGAGGTGTGGTGTAGGCATGATGTGGTGTGTTCATTCATGCTATCGTTGTATGTGAGATTTCAGCTTCGTTGGTGTAGCTTGTCCGTCTATCTTGCCTCGTGCTGCATTTGTGTGTGTGTTTGATCTGCTGCTCTTTCCTGTTGTGTTGGTGATTCAGTTCCATTGGCAGAGAGGCACGGTATCAGCTTCAGAACATCCTTGGCGGTCCAGTTCATCTCATTTTGCAAGTGAGAGTGGACCGCAATTGATTGGGCACCGTAATCAGGATCGCACGGCACGGTCTCAGGTGAAGCTGTAACAGGCGAATTTTCCCCGTTTCGCCAAGAGGCACCATTTTCAGCTCGCTCTTATGAATGTACCGTAGAATGAAATTGACAGGTTACCTTTGTTCTTTATTGTGTTGGAACGAAGTATGGATATAACTCCTTCAAGCCTCTGTTATAAGTTATAACTCTTAATTTTCTGAATTATTCTAAACCTGTTCTTTGAAGCAGCAAGAGCCAGGCCAACAACAAATCATCCCACCACTGCATTCGTTTTCTTCCAATACAAAATCCATGGCACCAGCAAATCCGCATTCGATACCTGAGCATTAAAAATTGTACAGCCCGCTCATAACAATGCACAAATACCATGCAGCTTTCCCTCGAGCACCTAGCCTCTTGCCCTGCAAATTCAGTTGTCCAACTGCAAGGCACGAGTCCATGCGATATGCAAGTTCAGTCTGCCTCACTCAGCATGCTTGCCTCCCCTAATTCTTCACACCCCTTGCCTCCATGCCTCTTCTTCTCACTCTCCCCTAGACAGTCACAGCCAGCTCTACCCTCTCAGCTCCCTTTCCACCATCACTCAGTGCCACCTTACCACCCCATCCGCCTGCGTACGTCATCATCCGTAAGCTTATCCCCCTCTGGAGGCCAGAAAGCTGTGAGCCTGGTCAGGCCAGTCAGTTGCTGCAGCCCATCATCCGTGACTGTCGTTCCATCCAGCGCAAGCTCGTCAAGAGCTGTCAGCCTCCCCACATGCACCATGCCAGCATCCGCCACATCACACTCCGTAAGCCACAGTAACTTGAGAGAGGAAAGCTCTGCCAAGTGCGGTAGTCCAGCATCGGTCACTTTGGTGCGCTGGAGACGGAGCTTTTGAAGACTGGTCAAGGACCCAATGCCCTCCAAGGTACTGTCTGCAACGAGTGTCTCATCCAGGTTTAGTATCTCCAGCCGTGGCAGCCTGTAGAGGCGCTTGATGACCTCTGCACTGAAGCCTGAGCTGGATTGCAAGTTAATGCTCGTCAGATGGGTCATTGTGGACACGTGGCCGAGCATGGCGTCTGAGATGCCGCTGAGACTTGACAGGACCAGGTCTGTACGTTGTGATGCCGCCTTAATGTGCTGGAGGTGATGGATGAAGAGGGAACGAATGGCAAAAAAAGGGATTATCATCATGAGAATAGCAAACCATGCATCCCCTATCAGCGCATGCATGCCCTGTCAAGCAATGGATGCCCTGGGAACTAGTTCACTTAGCACTCACCTGCCATGCAGTCTTTTGATGTCCTTCACTCTGGCTGATTTCCAAGTCAACGTCCTTCTTCATGAGAGCTTCCTTCGGCACTGCAGCAAGCTCCCCCTTCACCCCAGCAAGCTCCCCCTTCACCCCAGCCAGCTCCCCCTTCACCCCAGCCAGCTCTCTCTCCCTCTCCTCCATTGCAGCAGCAGTTGCCTCCACCTGCCCTCTCATCTCCATCAAGTCTGCTGCTCTTCTCCTCTCTACCTCCTGCACCTCCCTCCTCCTCTCCTCCCTCTCCCTTGCCAACTCCGCTCTCATTTCATCCTCTGCCTTTCTTATTTCTCCTCTCAGCTCTCTCAATTCCAATTCTCTCCTTCTCTCAGCCACATTCACTTGCTCTGCCATAGCGCCTTTGTGTTCAGCCAGCTCCCCCTTTACTGCTACCAACTCCCCTTTCATTGCAATCAGCTCTGCCTTGACTCCAAATCAACGCCTTTTTCATTGCAGCCAACTCTATCTCGCTCTTCTCCACCACAGCACTAGTCGCCACACTCCTCTCTCTCACAACAACCAGTTCGTGCCTCAACTCATTCACCTCGTTCCCCAATATTCGGTTCCTCTCCTCCAGCATCAACACGCGCTCATTCTGTCGGCCCACCTCCTTCCTAACCACCGCCAGCTCCCCCTTCACTGATGTCATCTCCCCCTTTGCTGCTGCCAGCTCCCCTCTCAGCAATCCGAACAGCCCTTTCATTGCTTCAGTAATCTCATTTGCCTCTCTCCCTATAGCCATGACCGGATCTTGCGTTCAGCCGGCTCCTTCCTTACTGGAAAACGTTAACAAGGGACATGATGAGGGACACTGAATCCAGGTCAACTTGAGCAAACATTGAGTGAAATTCTGCCTGATTCTGTTTACTTCGAGGCAAGGCGAGTGCCGCCTGTCAAGTGAACAAACACTCGTTTTCTACTACTTGGCCAAAAAGGCGAGAAAAATGTTCGCTTTCGAGGGCATGATTTTCCTCATGCTTTAATCCCCACGCGGATTGCTAGAGGATGTTAATTTTAATCACCTCACTCGGTTAATCAGGGTCGTTTTAGGTGGGGCAGGGTGGGTGATTTTCCAGGGGGGGGTGGGAAGCGACGGAGTGGAAATTATGGTGGGGCAGGGTAGGCATGAGCACCAACTGGGCTGAGGGCCGGCCCGACCCAGGTCGGCGCGACTCAAGGGTGGTCCTGGGCGGCCTCTCAAATAGTCGGCCTGACCTGGACCTCTTGGAACCAGCCCGAGCCATGCCCAATCAGCCAGTCGGCACCGAGCTGGGCGATTCTTTTGAAGGGGGGTTTGATGACAGGACTCGCAGCAATGCTCAGGACGCAGTGAAAGTAGACGATCGATCGTCTGTTGCGATCGATGTGTGAAACGGTTACCCTGTTTACAGACAAGTAACCTAGCTACAGTGACAGTTTTAGACAAAATACACAAACATTCAGACAGGACGACTGATCGTCTATCAATCGCGGCATCGCTGGGAAGCAAATGCCGTCGAACCGAGCATTACAGTGATGACTGATCCAAGTGCTTGCGACGTGACAGCTAAGCGGGTGAAATGAGTCGCACTATTTTCACATTTCACAAGGCCATCGATTCGCCGACCAGGTTACCCTGTGAGGTGCGAAACTCGCACTCGAGCTTGTACGAAATTGTTGAAAAGCGGGTAACCTCTCCGCGCCAAAGTGATCCCGGCGAATGAAACACAGCGCTCAACAGTTTTTTTCCGATCGTTACAACGCTGGGTGTGCATCGTTTCACCGATCAATTCCCCAAAGCGATCGTGATCTCACGATCCTCCGAATTTGTCACTTTCACCGCGTCCTCAGTTTATCTTCACAACACTCACGTTGATCTTCTTGGCAAGTGAGTACCGTTCAGTTTGCCCTAATATGAGCATCGCATCTCCGTGATAGAAACACGACGGAACGACTTCCCTATCGAGAAAATGAGTGGTGTGACGGAACCAGCCTACATCAGGCCTGATTCTAGTTTTGCAGATTAAAACCTCGTGCTGCTAGGAGAGACCACGGCACAAACACTTGAATCTGAGCTCAACACTTGGGTTGGGAGGGAGAAAAGCGCAACCACTTACAGTCGAGTAAACTCGATTTAGAGAAAAGGTGTGGAGAGAAGGCACACGAACTTCCGCCACTGTCAGTAGAAAGTCGGACGCTGCGAGAGGGACGATTGTGGTGATGAGCACGCAAGGGTTTTGTGTGGTTATCAGGTTGGGCAAGAATTGTGGGTTTCCGGGCGGGGGTGGAAGGCGGGGCAGAGTGGACATTCTGGAAATGCAGGGTGGGCTTTTGCAAGGGTGTTGAGGGCGAGACGAGTGTTGCTTGTCTCGTCCCGAGCAAGCTACGATCTCTCCACAAGGTGAGATACGAGGTGGCGGAGTGGGAAAAGTACTCATTGCGAGTAATACTCGCCGCATTTCGTTAGTAGAACAAGGCAAACCAAATCAAGGCGAGCATTTCTGGCCTAGCCCGCATCTTGTGACTAAAGGAGATGCGAGCTAGCACAGCTCTGGCGATAACATCAGATTTGGAAATATCAGTTCTAGAAAATCTGCGTGGGTGTAAAGTGCCGGCATGAAATTAAACTGGACAGCAATCGGGAGACGTGTGATCATGGGACCCGCAGAAACGTCAGATTACACGTCACTTTGTTTTCTTGGCATCAACGGAGTCAAGAGCATCATCGGCGAAAGAAGGAATACGGGGTAATGCCGGCATGCGAGCCGAAATGAATGGAATGACGGGACGGCCTTACCTCAGGCCTGTTTCTAGGGTTTCGTAGATCAAAACGTCGTGAGGCTATGACGCCTTAGAGCTGACACTTAAATCTAATCTCCGCAATGAGCGTGGAACACTCCAAACGGTCTGGGATTCCGCAGTAGTTGTGAACTTCACTCGATAAATATGAGTTTTTATGAATCAGAAGTGAGGAGGAGTCTCTCGCTGAGCGACTCACGGAGTGTATAGAGACGTACCGATTGAAAACGAGATACTGGAGGGATATTGCGGGATGACTGTTGCGACGCGGGTCGGAAGATCTAAGGCGTTTTCTATTTAGTAGTAACGCTGAGCCTAATAGGCTGAGTGATTCGTAGTGACTCGTACTAGTGACGATTCGTAGTGATTCTCCGATGGTGATGACTCATCACCACCCTACTGCGGGCTGTACTCGGGTTCAAAGGTTTGATGCTGCACGAAGGTGTTGAACCCAGTTCAGGGAGGTAACGTGGGGCGAAAATGAAATTTCGGAAAGGCGAATGATTTAGCAGCTGTGTAACAGGTGATACGTGTTTCTCGTACCTCGTAAATCGAGAAAGGGCTCAAACTTCTTGAATGTGACTGTTTGGCGAAAAGATTTGGCGATTTGCAAAAGATCGGGCGATGAGCGAAACGCACTTGCTCGTGT